ACTTTGCTTCAGGTAGCTTCAGATCAGACTTGTAGCTCTCTTAACACACCAATTCATTTCTTCACCAGTGGATGCTAAATCCATCAGTGTGAGGCTCCAGTGCATGCAGAACGAGGAAGAGGTTCATCCTGCTGCAGCACAGGGACATTTCATGGCACACACTGTCACCATACTGGGCACAGCGTGTCTGGACATCCCTACCAAATCCTCATCATTTACACTCTACTGGGGTTATTGAGGACCACTGTTCCTCACTGTGCTCCAGTCTGAGCAATTAGCAGATCATTTTGTCAGATATAGATCAGAGGAAAAAATGTTATCATCCATTGCTTCAAGGTCAAACACCATTCATGAAATAATCAGCCTGGCATTCAAAATATCCTCTGATTTACAGCTCCCATTGAGAGATAATACAATAGAATAGTGCTTTTTTAATCTTAGCACAATTTTCCTTGATGGTGTTGTAAATGCACATCCACAGACCACAGCAGCCTGCATTTCACAGGTCCTCCAAGGACCCAGCTGTTAGCTGATCACCTCCCAGTCATAAAAGTATTAATATTTTTGTTTTCTTTTGAGGAGACAAAGTATTCCAACAAGGGCCCATTAAAACACACTGCTCTCAGTGGGATATTTACCTTGATATCAAAGTATTTCAGCAAATACCACAAGTACCAGAAGAAGTGATTCATTGATGGATATTTCTCCTTTAATAGCACCCCTTGTTTTGTTTCGTTGCTTGTTTGTTTGGAGTTTTGTGGCTGGTTTTTGGGAGTGTTTTGAGGATTGTTTTTATACAGGAATGATGCATGTTTTATGATGATTTTTACAAGCTGAGAGAGTTGGGGGTGTTCAGCCTCTTCAGACTCCAGAGGGACAAAACAGCATTCATTGATGGATATTTCTCCTTTAATAGCACCCCTTGTTTTGTTTCGTTGCTTGTTTGTTTGGAGTTTTGTGGCTGGTTTTTGGGAGTGTTTTGAGGATTGTTTTTATACAGGAATGATGCATGTTTTATGATGATTTTTACAAGCTGAGAGAGTTGGGGGTGTTCAGCCTCTTCAGACTCCAGAGGGACAAAACAGCATCCCCTTCCAGTGCCTGGCTACAATACAATAGTACTGTAAAGAGGCTTGTTTGGAGGGGACATAGTGAGCAGGAATGGCTTTAAACTGACAGAGTGGAGATTTGGGTTATATATAAAGAAGAAATTCTTTACTGCAAGGGTAGTGAGACACTGTAACAGATTGCCCAGAGAAGATGCAGATGCCCCATTCTTGTAAGGGTTCAAGGCCAAGCTGGATGGGACTTTGAGCTACCAGCTCTAGTGGAAGGTGTCCCTGCCCACAGCAGGGCAGTGGGAACTAGACGATTTTCCAGCCAAAACAATTCTGTGATTCTGTATTACCATTTTGTAACTTGTGATGACACAGTAACTCAGCGTTACCAGAGACTGATACAGAAGGTATAGAAGGTGGTTTTAATCTATTTAAACTGTGTGAATTACTCATGTAATCTTTAGGTTGAAAAAGAGTTTTTAAATTCAAAAATCGTGTCACAACACAAGTAGATGTGTTTTAGGTCAAAAAGAAAAATCACAGCATTTCATTCTGAATGTCCCATTCACACTGCAGGTTCTGTCTTACCATGAGACGATACTTCATTTCTAAATCAACTGGTCTTCCTGCTTCCATGCAGGCTGTAAACCAGGAGATATCCAGTAGTTCAAACCTGGAGCTGTCACCCACAGCCTGTCCTTTCAGCCAGTCCAGCACCTCCAGGTAGGAGTTGTTCTCAGCCACAATATGAGTGACAGATTCACTGTCAAGAAGTACACAAAAAGCTTGCTATTTATTTTCCCTAAATCCAACTGTACACAGACACAGAGCTGTTATTTCCATATAAACTTACTATCCACTTCCTGAAAATTGTAGTATGTATTGTATGTTAGGATGTGGGAAGCAGTTTTCATATCATCATATATCTATTCCAGTCACTGACTCTGCTTTGAGGTAGGACTATAGTCTGACAGCTCCTGTAAGCACAGCATTTTCTTTCTTTCAGCATCATTTGCCTTCTGTAAGACACTACCCTAATACACATTCTTTGCACCTCTGAAGATATTTAGCTTGCACAAGCAGTACCATAATTAAAAGGCTGCTTGATGATACCTGACAGCCCCTTCCCAGTATCCCTCATCAATGAGTGAAAGCTTTATAGTATTAAAGTCTGTTAACAGCAATTCTCTAAAGCTTTACAGCTAGTAATATCTTTTTGAAAATTTAAGTTTTCTGTGCTTACATGAAGGTCCTTTCATATGGCACTGTCAAAAGTTCATTACTTGAACCTCATTAGTTATGTGCTCCATCTAACCACTTCCTTGCTACTAAGAGGCCAGTCTCTTACAAAACTGCTTAGTGAATATAAAATTTACAGCTTGAGTTGTTGTTCAACAGCTTATATGGTGTACATTGCTTTAAAATATGGCAGCACAAAGGTTATTGTAGCAAATTTGGGTTTTGATGCAGTAGAATAACATTGGAAAGAATCACATGAGAATTCATGATTAAAAAGACACAGTTCTGTACCTAACACAGGAAAATAATAAGGGCAAAGTTATATTGCAGGAAAAGATTACATACATACTTATAATTATCTGTAAGTTTCTGTCTGGCCTACTGATGTATCCCAGCAAGTTTAGAAAACCACTAACTTGATAGGAAATGCTGAATGATTCCTAGTGTTCCCTCTCCCCACACAACCCATGAGGGTGGTCTCATCCCCAAAACCAACATGACATAAAGGAGAAAATTCTTCATTTTCATGAAACTTGTAGGACCTTAGTATCTTTTAAATATATGCCAAAACTAACTGCTATCATTCAACAGATTCCTAAACTTCTTGGAGTAAAGGCAGAGACAGTGTCACTTTTTGACACTATTTTTATAGAAAGAAGCTAGAATTGGAACATAAATTGCCTTGGTGACAGACCCTCTGTTTGCAAGCCTCTGTGACCTCCTGCTAGCCCATGTTGGTGACAGCCTTCTGCATATACAGTAAGTTTCAAGTGGACCTGACAGATTGCTTTGGAACTCTTCTGTAACACATGAAGAAGTTAAGCCATCAACCTGCCTAGGAAGAGAGGACACTACAGGTAAAGATAGGTGGTTAGCATGGCCTTCAAAAAATGATGTGTGCTGTTAAAGGCAGACTGCACAACCTTTCAGAGCAAACTAATTTCCAGATGACCAAGAAAATTCCACAGCCTATCCCTGTGACCCTGATTCAAACAACTAATCGCTGATTTCCTCAAGTCATGAAATCACAATGACAAACACTGGAATCAGTCGATAGAAAACTTATCAAATAACTCTTCAGTGCAATAAACATACCATATTTTGGAAGTATAAGAGACATACTGAATGTACCATACTTGAGAAACAGGAAAACTGCCATGGTATAGCACAATTTTTTTCTCTCCATATAGTGGAACTTGTAGAGCAGAGTCCATTGAAAAAGATTAAATCCCAATTAATTTTATTCTAAAAGATTACAAATGTAGATTAACTGAATCTCCATAAAATACTATTGGGTTTCTTATTATTTAACCCTGCTAGATCCTACTTTAATTAAACTGTCACGTCTTTACTTGAGGAAAAAAAAGATCAGTTAGAGACACAGAACTTCTGCTTCCTGTGGTTTATTTCACTTCATATAAAATATTCATATGTAATGTATTTGTACCAGGCTGCAGATCTGGGAACTTTGCCATCACTATGCTCACAGCAGCAGTTTAGCTGCTGTGTACCAGTTTCCTCTGGTACCTGTACAGCTGTGCTTTTTTCTTGGCACAGAACATAACAAGTGTAGCATTTCCTCTGGCATTTTCAAAACCAAAAATCAACAGTTAAATAGTTCTGTTTTATCCAGTAGCAACTAAACTGAAATTAAACATAACACCTGCCTCATACAGCTTACAGAAAGTCTGAAATATTTGCTATAAATACCTGTGTGTCAAAACAGCTCAGACAAAGCCTCTACTCAGTCCTCAACAGATTGTTAATGTAGGATGCAGAACAGGAATTCCACAGGAATTCAATTAGTTTTGTATCAGATGCTAATTGCCTACTTCTGTTCAATACCTGCTTGAATCTTCCTCTACAAATTATTTTATCCTCCCTTCTTCCTCAGGATTTCAAAATTGATGGGATTGAAGAAATCTGTGGAAATGAGCTTTTATAGCAAGGACCCAGTTGTACACTATCTTTATACAGATAAAGTAAAATGATCATCAACACTTGGTTTTCCTTCAGCTTTTCAGAGAAGCTACATAATGATGTAGCTTTTGGAAAACTGCATAATATAACCAGTGCTGATGTAAAGCATTATTTGAAGGAAGACTTCCTTCAGAAAGAGTTGTCTCATTGAAACAGCACTGGACAAATCTGCAGCTGGAGTATATTTTCACTCTTAAATGCCACATCTGTGGTATCTCACTCCTGAGGTTTTTTTCTCCAATGCTCTTCCAGATTGTACCAAAGTGTAAGCCAGTAACTTTGAGACTCACATCAAGGTATTACAAAGAGATTAATTATTATAATACCAGAGATGGTGTAGATATTTTCCTCAACCCATCACTTTTCCAATCCTGTATATTTAATGTTTTTTCATTTTAGAAATTATAGAATCACTGAATCAGTTAAGTTGGAAGGATCCACAATGGGTCATCTGGTCCAGCCTCAAGCAGAGCCATCCTAGAGCACATGGCTCAGAATCTCATCCAGTTGGTTCTTGAATACTTCCAGTGAGGAAGAATCTACAACTTGTCATTAAATTTAGATTAATCTTAACCTGACTTCAAGGGGTAAATGAACAATGTCTGATCTAGGTGAGCTACAGACATGATTCCTAGGCAGTCACATTAAAACTGACACACAGAAAAATTAGAAGATAATTAGAGTAAGATCAATTAGAATTAAAAAAATTTTAAAAGCAAAAAAATTGAATTCTGAAGTTTGTGCTCTCCCTGCCCTCTGCTCAGAAGACAATATAAATGAACCACACACTAGCAGCACCCACTGAAATCCTGAAGCACCTTTATAGTGGGAAGTATATCCACCAAATGCACAGGCAAAAACTTCAAACACAGTTGCTTCTATGACTGGATTTATTAAATTAAAATGCTTCAAACAGCATTACTGCATGTTATTTGGAGACACATAAGCAGTTTCCTACCTTAGCTCAGTTTCTACTCTGAAACCTTTTCTTCTTGCCAACTCCATCAAGAACATCCTTCTGGTCATCCCCATCTTCCTCTGCATAATAAAAATGACACACTTGTTGAATTTTATTTCATAACTGCAGGAAAGGTTTGGGGAATGCAGCCCTTTCTGTCTTTTCCTCTGGGATATAACAGCTGGAGCTTTGATCCTGTCCATGATGCAAGGTAGAAGTGTTTCACTTGGGTAAAATGGAGATAACGTGCTTTCTACCAGGCAACTGCTGTATTTAATGTCACCACCCACTGAAGTAATTTTGTTGTTTACCCTCTGAAATCAAAAACAGGTGCTACACAAGCAGAAACATCACTTGGTCTCTACCAGCTGGGACTTCTTGCACAGAAATACTTCAGACAGGTGCAGAAATGCTTCCCTTCCTTAAAACAATCATTGCCTATAAAGACATTATCCAAATAATATTGATCATAGCAAAATTATATCAAAATATCAACCAGGTCTTCAGCTGGTTTAATGGCCCAGTTCCATCAATTTCTGCATTCAAATTTTTTCCAAATTGCAGAAGACATTAATTACTGATTTACGTCAAAAAACCCCAATATGATTCTGCCTATTGTTAGCTTTAAACTATGCTTTAGAATACAACTAAATGACAGTACACAACTATGTTGTAGAATAGCCAGTGCACTTGCTACTTTTGTGTAACTAATTTGATTAAAAGGAATTGTTTTTAAAAGAGCAAAGAAAAATAGCTTTTGAAACTAAATTTGTAATAAAATAAGTCTTTTGCTGTCTTCATATTAAGGTAATAAAAGGCAAATCATTAGAGATTTTAATTTTGTTTAAATATACCTTTGGGATTCATTGCCAATATTGCTATCTACCTTTTCCCTTCAACGCACTGCTATCCATGGCAGTAACAGAAAGGAAAACATAACTACCTTTCTGCTTTTAAGCATCCAGGGACCTCCAAAGAGCTACAGAGGAGATTATGGAGGCTACATGCCACCCTCACCTAGAGGTTGGGGTATTGGTCATCACAGAGCTACACCAAAACCTGTTGTTGATGTTGTGTTGGATTCAGTTCAGTATCTCCCTGAGTCTCCATCAGAGCAAGGTGAATGCAAACAACCAGGTTTACAGCATGTGCATCTATTTCAGCACAAATCTACTTCAGTGGTAAATATCCCCATTCCCATGTCAAGTTGGATTTTTATTTTTAGTGCAGCAGAGAATTTGGATTTTACCAGCCCTTCAGAACATGTCAGAAATGTTATATCTTGCAATTCTCATTGCTCGTGTTCAGGAGAGGAAGCAAGGTGGAAAAACCCTGCCAAAGAAAGATCCATCAATTTTATCTTCAGTCATTTTATCCCAGATGGATATACAACCTGAGTTTCAGAAAAATGAGTCAAGACCTGTTTCCTGCAATTACGGCCATGAGTTTAAAATTAAATTATTAAAGTATTACTGACATTTTCTGAGCCCTATAGCTCTTGCTGCTTCAACTGTATTATCACAGCTATAAAGCAACACTTTTCATCAGAATAGAAACTAACCATCAAAAATTAATATAGAGCTTTCAGCTCTGGGGTCTTCCTGAGGCCATGAAGAAAATATATACATGGTGCAGTATATAGATTAGACTCCATTCATTTCTTCCCTTGCCTAAGGATAACCCAGAAGCAAAAATATCTATTCCTCTTTTGGATTCATAACATTAAAGTTGTCAAAGTAAATCATTTCAAGGTTATTTTGAAATTATATGAGATATTTTCATAGGAACTGGAAAATGGACAAGCAGACTTTAAGAGGCTTAAGCAAAAGAATAGCAGCAAGAAAGAAAAAAAAAAAAGTGAATACTGATGGATCTGGCATTAAGGCTGAGCAATCTGCTTTGGCTGTTCCATGTCTTTTTTCCAGACTACTAATCAACCATTGAACACTGGTCACTTCCCTGTTTATAGCTTTAGGCTTGGTAAGACACTTTATCTCAAGCCCAACAAGGAATAATGTATTTGAGAACAGATTCTTTACATATGTTAAACAAAGTTTTATTTTATGTTATAATTAATTCAGTACTCTAAAACATGTAAATATAATTTTCCCCAGTGTAACATCAATATGCTCAGTGCCAGTAAAATCCTTCTGGCATGAATAACAAGTTATTATTGCTTTATGCTACTGTTATAACTCTTAGACCAGATTTTCAAGGGTATTTAGGTGCCAAAAAGCAGCAAACAGAGACCTACTGGGATTTTCAAAATATCTAAGCAACCTAGGCACTTGGCCCCTTTGGAAATCAGTTTCTGGCTTTGAATCTAATGCAAAGATATTTTCTCTAATAAACACAGTCTAATATAATGAAAAAGTCTCTGCCAATGATGCAATTTTATTAAATGTACCTTCTAAAATTCACAGGATTTCCATATCCCAGATGAGTGAATAACTACTCTCCTACAACATTAGATTATAATATTTTTGACAGTACCACAGAAAGTAGAAGATGTATTAGGGAGAAAGGAAATACAGCAGAGAAAAAGCATGTCTCATTTATGACAAAGGAAAAGTATCCTGTTATCTGAGTCATGACACCAGATATGATTAGTGGCCTAAACCCACCAAAACTTGCAGAATTGTTTTCATCTCATTGCAGTCTCCTGAGTTCAGTGTAATTCACATCCCTCAAGGGAAATCTAGAACAAATTTTCATGTCCTCGCTGTGAATCAGTTTTGTACACTATCAAAGGCAAGGATTAAGAAGGAGACATATACAAATACTGATGGCCATTTAAGAAAATGTCTTTCACCCTTGTGATGTTGGTGCCAACAACAGCATCCCAAGCTGTCCTCAAAGCAGTGTCTAGTATGGACCTTGGCCTGAAGCCCAGAGTACTGATCTTGTTCAAAAGGGGTTCTTTGGGAGGAAAAGTTCAGGAACACACCATTTCTGGAAAGCACGGTTCTGTTCCTCTGAATTTCAGTATTTACATGTGCTTTCACTGCACCTTCTTGATTGGTGTCAGAGAGTTTTTTCGTGCCCTGCTTTCATGTGAACTGCATTGCAAATATTTCATATATAAATATTTTATAAAATGTTGCTTGCCCATTTCATGTAGCTTTCCTGTGAAGACTGGTGAAAGGTGCTTTTAATACACAGCTGAGGTCTATTCACCTTCAGAGAAAGCATCTCTCAAGTACCATCAATAAAAGACAGAGAAGTAATTGTTTGGATATTTTTCGATTTCACATAGGCTTAGCAGCATCTGACACAGTATTGGTTCACAAGGATTAACTTTTCTTAGCTTTTTCATCTTAAAGTCTTTGATTTTTCAGTGAACATTCTCATGGAAATTTTAAAATTCTTCTGGTATTTGTTTTTGTCCAGATATTTCCACGACTTTGTTTAAATTCAGGCTTTCTTGGCTGCTAAGCCCTTTGCGGTCTATACCTGTTCTACGAGTCTCTCAATGCCTAAAAACCATACGACAGGGTTTTTTCCTGGTTTCAGTAAAAGTTTTGTGGAATCCAGTTTGTAATGAAACTATTACATAGTATGTCTCTGTACTTAAACCGATTATAGTTAGCAAACGCACATAATTGAAGGATGTACATACACTAAAATATTTTAAAAATTGATGAAGTTTTACCTCTTGCAAACAAGTACAGATTTTTTTCATATCTTTATATGTTTCACTTCAGTCTTCTGCTTATCTTGTCACCAGAGAGATATACAGATTCATGAAAGCATTGACTATCTGTCCTTAATTCTGTATTATGTGTGAAGTTTTCATTTTTGTTTAGTAGGTAATCAACAAGCTTGACAATATCTTACAATTCCATCAGACAAAAGGATAAGTCAGTACTTGGAATTCCTGAACAGTTCTACCTGCACCAGCAAACCCTGTCTGACCATACATTGCATGAATCTGTTTCTTTAGTCCCTACTTTTTACCCTGTATAAATTCTTACAAAATGAGCGCAGGAAACCAATCTGGCTACAAAGAAACACAAGACCATGATGTTACCTTTGATTCTGCTTTATTGAATAAATTTACTCTTGTGAGGGTGGTGAGGCACTGGCATAGGTTGCCCAGAGAAGCTGTGGCTGTCCCATCCCTGAAACAGTTCAAAGCCAGGTTGGATGGGGCTTGGAGCAACCTGGGCTAGTGGAAGCTGTCCTCACCTGTGGTAGGGGAGTTGAAACTAGATGATCTTTAATGCCCCTTCCAACCCAAACCATTATATGATTTTATTAAAGATAAAGAAATGTGGAAAAAGTGTATTCTATAAATGTTCAGATGTATTTAAAAATCAATTCTCTTACATCCCCTTTTGTAGCCTCAAGCTGCACCAGAAGAGGTTCAGGTTGGACATTGGGAGGAATTTCTTCACAGGAAGTGATTAGTCATTGGAACTGACTGCCCAGGGAAGAGGTGGAGTCACCATCCCTGGAGGTGTATAAGAAAAGACTGGACAAGTGTATTCTATAAATGTTCAGATGTATTTAAAAATCAATTCTCTTACATCCCCTTTTGTAGCCTCAAGCTGCACCAGAAGAGGTTCAGGTTGGACATTGGGAGGAATTTCTTCACAGGAAGTGATTAGTCATTGGAACTGACTGCCCAGGGAAGAGGTGGAGTCACCATCCCTGGAGGTGTATAAGAAAAGACTGGACAAGACACTTAGTGCCATGGTCTAGTTGACATTGTTGGTCACAGGCCTGGAGGTGTATAAGAAAAGACTGGACAAGACACTTAGTGCCATGGTCTAGTTGACATTGTGTGCTTGGTCACAGGTTGGACTTAATGATCTCAGAGGTCTTTTCCAACCTAATTGACTCTGTGATTCTGTGGTATTTATATTCTTTGAACTGCTAGAACATTTTGAGGGGCAACTCTGAGCTATATGTGCTTGAGTTACTCACATCAAAGATGAGAAACCCCATAAAATGCCCAGTTGACCAAGAATTTTGAAAAACTAATTAAATGATAGCATGCTTTGATTGTGCTTACTTGGTTGCATGATGGTATTTGGTATGTAAGACAAAGTAGGCTTTGAAAGGACACAAATGTTTGTAGTTGCTGTCATCAAATGTACAATATTTCTGATGCATATGGCAGAATAACTGTTTATTATCCTTTTCTTTTTTATGCTCCCTGGGTGGAGATGAAAACCTGAATAAAATGAATTTATTTAGCAACATGTGT